CGCGTCCCCTCCCGTCCTTCAGCAACACCAGCGTCCCTCCAGGCACCCATGCTTCCCTCCTCTTGGCCTGTGGAACCACGCTTTCTGGAAGGGTGACTCGCACACCCAAAGTGTGATTCTAAGTGTTTGTGTTCCTTCCCTGGACGATATTCCAGTTTAATCATGGCAAAAACAGTCTAGAATTTGGGTCCGGCTGTGACCTCTGCCATTCACTCCCTAAAGTGAATGGATCCATAATTTTTCTAAGCCCCAATTTCTTCACCTGTGAAGTGGGGTCATAAACCTGCCCCCTTTCTCTCTCTCGGGGTGGGGGGGTGGGAGCTGCTAGGAGTGTGTCCCAGCACTTTGTAACCAGTAAGATGGTATCCTAAGACTCCACCCTCTTAGAGATGTTTCAGGTTTCAGTGCAAAGAGGGGGCGAGTTTTTGGTTCTAGGAAAGTTCTTTCCCCGTACCCGAAGCTACACACATTCCGAATCCACACAGCATTTTACCTGTCCCCTCCTCCACCCCCACCCACCCCCATAGTCCAGGGTATCGTCCTGTTTCCCAGCAGGAATCACCTGCTCTGGGAAGGGAGGAGAGAGGAAGTAGGAGACCAGGTGGAAAGGTGGATGCATCTCTTGAACTTGGAAAGATTTCCATGAGAGGAGCTTCCCTGAGGGACGTGGAGTTCCATTTGGTTCCACCAGAAACAGACTGTTCCCACCACCGGCTGGAAAGCCTGGCATCTTCTCCTTATCCTGAGCAGCTCCCCGAGGCTGTGTGTGTCTAGGGCGCGTCCTCTGCATCCAGCCGTCCCTTTTGCCCTCTGTGGGGACCGGGTCAGGATCGCCCTGGTGCTCGTGTGGGATGAGATCCGGCGGACACAGAAGCTGCCGTCGGGGCTTCAAGGAGCCGTCTTAGGTAGCAAGCTGCTTCGTCACAGTCTCTAATTCTTCGCACTTGAGAAACGAACGTTCTGTCCCAAGAACTAGCCAGGAGTTCCACCAGCTCTGAAAGTCCCCCCACAGTGGCCACTAGGCTTCATCCTGAAGACTGTCCTAAGGGGGACAGCATCCTACAGAGAGAAGGGGAAATGGGGAGAGTTGAGGGGGAGAGTGGGCCTGGGCGGGAGCAGGCCCTGTCCTCCGTCTGGCCGGAGCCAGCTGGGCGCCAGGATCAGGGTGCGGGCGCTTCCAGACAGTGTTAGCCGGCCTCTTGCCTCAACAGCAGAACAGTGGCTGAAAAAAGCGATTTTCTGAATAACAAATACATCATTCGTGTGATATTAAACATCATATTGAAGGATAGCAAAGGGCCCTCCGTGATCCTCTTCCCTGCCGGTCGTTCCCATCACCAGATGCAGCCCGTGTTTCCAGATCCTCCCAGGCACTCTGGGCGAGTGCAGACAGCGGGATGCAGGTGTACAGGTTCTTCCCCGTCTGTGAAACTCTAAATGGATCCTTCTATGCAGACGGCTCTGCGGTTTGCTTCCTTCACTTACCCCTCTGTCTGGGAGATGAGAAGGACGGTGGGGCTTGCCGTGTTCCGTAGGGAAGAAGGCTGTGGACGTGCAGTGCGTTATGTAGCCTCTTCCTGCTGGTGAGCACCTGTGTCTCAAGCTCTGCTCTGAAGCACCAGGGAGGTGGATGACCCCAGACACTGGCTGGTTAGTGCCGACACGAATACGTCTGACGCACGAATGCCCAGTAGCAGAATGGCTGGGGAAGAACTTGTGTTTGTAGTCGTGAGAGATGCTGCCGAAATGACCCCTCAGGGGCACTGATTTCCTCTGGCCTCAGAAAATTCCCCCGCGGGCCTGGAGCAGGGTTGCTGCCAGATGGGGACGGGTCTAGACTGAGCCCTGCGAGACAGAGTAGGGTCCACCCCACCCTGGTGATTTTTGCTGCTGGCTGAGGGTGCGGAGATCACTGGGGCTGCTTGTCCTTTATGTGAAGAACTCAGGCCCCCGAGGGGCTCCGCCTGAGGGGTCCCTGCGGGTTGTCAGGATGTGGTCAGTGGCACAGGCTTTTGAGCCTAAGAGCCACCCCCCTCAGTCCAGCTCTCTTTCCCCCTCTGTTCGGTCTGCAGCACAAACCCCGAATGCAGGGAACACCCCAAAGAAAGCACAGGAAGGGCCTCTGTGTCCAGTGGCCCAGGCGAGAGTTGGGAGCAGGGACCAGGACGTTTCCCGCTGGACCGTGGCGCCTACGCGGGCTGTCACAGGAGCCAGTGAAGGCCACGCCACCACCCCTGGGGCCTGAGGCCCGCGAGGTGCCCGTCCACAAACAAAGCAGCCCGAGGGCTTCCTTCTCCCATCCGGCACAGCCCCCTGAGAGGCTCGGGCCCGCCCCAGCCTGGCACGTGGCCTCACTCCTGCTCCGTGGGTATCACCCACAGTCTGGCCTGCCTGCCAGAGCACCTTCATCTCCCCCTGCAGAGCTGCTGGACCATCAGATCTCCAGCTGCTCGGGGTCCCCAGTCTCCGTCCTCCCCTCCTCACTCCCCCAGCCCCATCTCCAAACGGGCCTTGCTTCTCAAGACCTTTGGGGCCTTTGCTCTTAGGGGCCTTTCACGTCATAAGTCTGGAGACCTTCAAAACCGTGGTGACAGCATTCTACCTCCTGATTTCACCTGGAGCTCCCCCCAGGTCAGCCTGGGGCCCGGGAGGCAGGGATCCCCACTTGGCGTGGTTCCGTGGGATACGGGGTCCCTGGAAAATGACACTCCTCCTTTACCTGGTTGCTCTCCCAATGCGTCTGCCTGGGAAATATGGGAGGGAAGATGCCAACTGAGCTTGAGCCCTGGCCCTGCCCCCTTCTCTTTCTCTGCCTGTTGGGGGCCGGCATTGACCAAGCACCTGCCCCTGGCCCAGGACAACTCTGGGCCCAAGCACCTGCCCCTGGGCCAGGACAGCTCTGGGCCAATGATGCGTTTGGGGGCCGGGGGGAGGGGCGGGGAGCGGGGAGAGAATTCCATACTTTACATTTGGTTTGGTGTGAAGCAGGCAGCTCGTTGTTCACTCTGGTAGCGCTCGGTACAGACGAAATGTGCTGAGTTCAGGGCTGGGAGGCTCCTAGGGCCGCAGAGTCAGCAGGAGGGAGATGGGATGAGTTAGGCAGCCGCTCTGGGGTGTGTGTGCACAGCGATGGCATGAGAGGACGTGGCACAGAGCGGCACAGAGAAAGAGCCCCAGGCTGGTGGCTCGTAGGCTGACCAGTCTTTGTCAAGGTCAGAAAGAACGAGAGGATGGCCCTTGGACCATGTCTACTGATGTCTTTGCTTTGGCTTGCGTGATTAAGTATTTTTAAATAACCAATTTAAAATAAAAATTTTATTCAGTTACCTATAAATGTGAGAGATCAGACTCAAATCCAGAGTCTGATCTTAGAAAACAAATCAATATCAGGCAATTATTGTATTCATTTCCTAGAGCTGCCGTAACAAAGTACCACAAACTGGGTGGCATAAAACGACAAGTTTTTTTCTCTCACGGCTCCAGAGGCTGGAAGTCTGAAACCAAGGTGTCAGGAGGGCCACGCTCTCTCTGAGACTCTGGATCAAATCCCTCCTCGCCTCTTCTAGCTTCTTTTTGCCTTCTTCCAGTTTTGTGGAGAAATAATTGATACGCATCTCTGTATACGTTTAAGGCATACAGCACGATACTTTGATTTGCGTGTATTGTGAAATCATGATCACAGTGGGTCGGCTAACATCCCTCATTTCTATAGAAACAATAAAAAGAAAAGAAAAAGGAAAAGAACTTTTCTCCCTGTGACGAGCGCTCAGGATTTACTTTCTTAACAACTGTCCTGTATGTCATACAGCAGTGTTGACTGCAGTCGTCATTTTGTACACGACATCCCTGGTACTTATTTATCTTATAACTGGTAATTTGTACCCTTTGATCACCTTCCTCCACTCTTCTAGCTTCTGATGGTCGCCAGCAGCGCTTGGTGTTCCTTGACTCACAGAGGCGTCACTCTGATCTCTGCCTCTGTCATCACATGGCCTTCTCCTCTGTGTGTGTGTGTGTGTGTGTGTGTGTGTGTGTGTGTGTGTGTGTGTCTTCTCCTCTTATAAGGACACTACACATAGAGTTAAGAGCCCAAACTACTCCAGTATAATCTCAGCTTGATTCCATCTGCAAAGACCTTATTTCCAAATAAGGTCACATTCATAGGTACCGGAGGTTAAGACTTTAACATAGCTCTCTGGGGGTGGGGGAACACCATTCAGCTCATAACAATGATCTTATGGTGTAGTCAGCTAGGTGTGAGTGAGAAAGGCCCCCAGGATTGTACCAACCCTGTCGAAGTGGACGGCCTGTCACTCTGGCAGACTCCTGTCCCCAGCCTCCTTGCAGTTCCTTGGTCACCGATCCCCACCCGCTTCCTCCTGGTTCCTGTCTATCTGAGTCTTCACTCTGCAAGGCTCCTTCCTTCCCGAAGCCGCCCCCAGCGTGCATCTTCATGGTGATTCTCACTGCTGCACACTCACGGTGACCACCTTCACGTGGCACATTTTGACAATAACAGCGTGTCTCGTCTGGTCCCCGGTGTATGTTGTCAGGTGACGTCTGCAACCCTGACCTTTGTCTCTGCTGAATACTTCATGAACTTCCTTATGTCTCGTCTCGAGTAATATGGGTTCCCCTCCGTGTGCTCTTGGCACCATGCTCTGTAGGGGAGGAGGGGAGATCCAATGGTCTTGGACTCAGTGGCAGAAAATAGCCTCCGAAGTGTGTGTGTAAGAAGTCTTTAACCCCGACAGCTTCTGTATGGCCCCTTCACAGCAAGGGGGCTCTGCCCGCGACTCAAGTCGGATGTCGAGGGGATTTCTGGGCACAGCTGATTCTAAGGGATTAGAAGTCATTGTCTACTAGCTTGTCCCCAGTATTCAGAATTTGATCTTTTATATTCCTGCCATTTGAGATTTTTGGCCCTTGTAGATGGAAGCCCCTTTCCCTGTGTCAGCCAGATTTCTAACGGCCCTGTGTGGTTTCCTCCTCAACTTCAGGCCTCTCTTCCTCTCCATCAACACCCACCCAAGTGGCCAAGCAGCACACGTTTCCTCTCGAATCCTATAAGCATGAGCCTGAGCGACTGGAAAATCGCATCTATGCCTCCTCTTCCCCTCCGGACACAGGCCAGAGGTTCTGCCCGTCCTCCTTCCAGAGTTCAGCCAGGCCTCCGTCAGCATCGCCAACACACCATTCTCCCTCCAAATCTGTAAGTCTGGGCCTTCTCCTGGGGGCCGGGCCGCCAGCTATGGGAGGGAGGGCAGAGTCTGTACACAGCTGAAACTAAAGCTGTGCACTCCTGTGACATTTTTGGTACATTTTATCATGAATCACAAACTGAGAAAAAAGTGGCGAGAGCACAGTAGGCAAATGGAAACCAAATGAATGGTAACATCTGGAACATGATCAGAAAAAGCTTTTTGCTCTCTTAGCTTCTTTTTTTTTTTTTTGTGGTACGCGGGCCTCTCACTGCTGTGGCCTCTCCCGTTGCGGAGCACAGGCTCCGGATGCGCAGGCTCAGCGGCCATGGCTCACAGGCCCAGCCGCTCCGCGGCATGTGGGATCTTCCCGGACCGGGGCACGAACCCGCGTCCCCTGGGTCGGCAGGCGGACTCTCAACCACTGCGCCACCAGGGAAGCCCTCTTAGCTTCTTTTTAAAAATCAGTCATTAAAAGCTTTCTTTGAATTTATCTTGATTGGGTTACTAAAGTAAAAAGTCATAGGCAAAGCCAAAAAATTGTTTTTTTGTAGAAATTCTATTCTAGGTTTTAAAGATTTAAAGTCTGACATCATTTGACTTGGGAAGCATTCTCGGAAAGGTGAACCTTTCAAAGCAGAGTGGGATGGTGAAACAGGTGTCTTTGCATCCTTCGGAGGATTGGGACTCGTGGGTATGGATGGAAGAAGCTGGCTTAGCACCAGCGCTTAAACACTCTGCATTTCAACACCGTGGGCCCTGCGTGTGGGGACCACCATCACCGCCCCCTAGTTCGTGTTGGCTACCACAGACCCTCATTATCATTCCTGTGCCCAGCAAGGACCCGAGGCCCGTATCGGTGGAGTCTCTCCGGATGGATGTAACTATTTTATTCAGCTGTGGTGTTAGCTCCCTGCGGCTGCCGTAACAAAGGGGCACAAACTGGGGGGCTTAAAACAACAGGAGGCTATTGTCTCACGGTTCTGGAGAGGCTGGAAGGGGGCAATCAAGGTTTCGGCAGGACCACGTTCCCTCTGCAATCTCTGGGGGGGGGGAGGGTATTTCCTGGCCTCTCCCAGCTTCCGGTAGCCCCGGGATTTTCTTGGATTGTGGCAGCGTCACTCCACCTCCATCTTCACGTGGCTGTCTTCCCTCTGTCTCTGTTTGTGTCCAGTTTTAAACTCTTATGGGAACAGCAGTCGTGTTGGATGAGGGCCCAACCCAACTCAGTACGACCGCTTCTTGATGACCTCTGCAAAGACCTGATTTCCAAATAAGGTCGCCTTCACAGGTATCAGTGGTCAGGACCTCAGCATAGCGTTTGGGGGGACACCATCCAACCATAACAGTTGCTACCTCTGGGGAGAAAGAAGATGTGTTTGTCATGCAGAGAACCTACTGTGACTCTTCTCCTTGCTCCTCTGATGGTTATTTTATTAGGTGCAAGCTTAGCAGAGTATTGTTTTAAGTGCCGAGGAATAAAATGCAAGGTGTTGTCTCCGCCCTCTAGGGCTTACAGTCTTACTGGGAACAGAATAGCACTCAGATAAAACAGTTCAATAAAAGCGGAAAGTAGGTTGGGTGGGCATCTGGAGTGAAACAAATAGTCCACACTGCAGGGGATGGGAAAGGGAAAATACTGTGGTCTGATAAGGGCAAGGAAGCCTTGGGTGATTGTAGGGTCTAAATAAGGGGAGAGGGGAGGGGAGGGCCTCCTGGAAAAGAAAATTAACCATGGCCTGGGGTGGGAAGGAGTGTGACGTGTAGCATAGGGTAGGAGCTGGGGGTGGGGGGCTGTCTCTGGGAGGTGGGCATCTGGCAGAGATTGGGGACCAGAGGACCGCTCACTAGAGACGTGGAGAGGTGCAGGCCTTGGCCGCTTACAGCTAAGGGCCCAGGAGGAAGGTCATCCGTGTTCTTGGGTATGAATGAGAAAAGATCTAGAGGTTTCTGTTTTCCCAGGCATTTAGCAAAGAGATTTGGTCATAGAGATAATAGAACAAATATATCCAAAAAAGGAATGATGCGGCAACCCAAAGATGATCAAAAGCAGGAAGCCACTACTCCCCTCGGGCTGGAGGGACGTGTTGGGAGCCCATCAGATGGGAGGTGGAACCAGTGTGTCTGCCTGGCAGGAGCTGGAACTGCAGAGGAGAAGCAGCCACTGGCCAGAGATGCCATGCGAGGCAGAGGGGTAGAAAGTCTGGCGTCTCCACTGCTTCCTGCCTTCCACCTTGTGCCAAACCTGCCGAGAGGCCAGTGGGCCAGGAGGTCTGGGACAGAAACCCTGGGGGAGGAGGGAGGAGACCAGAGGAGGGAGCCAAGAGGGAAGCGACTGGTCGAGAAGCATCAAGTCTCAAAATGTTGGCTTCTTCTCATGGACCAGGGATAACTGACAGGTTAACCCCGTGTAAGAAGAGACACTGCATGGACGAGGAGACGGTCATTTCGACTTTAGATCATTTGAAGTGATGGTACGGACGCAGACACAGGGTTTTTCCGTGATTGCAGAAGTTCTGTGCTCGGGACAGCCTCTCCCAGTTTAAGTGAGAGAGAATCCAGAGGGCGTTCTGGGTCTGCCCACTGTGCCCTGCCCCCACCCCAATTGTGACTAGAAAGTGATATTCTTAACTGTTCATACCACACAACTATGAAGCTCTTGGTGAAAACCAGCGAGCCTGGGCCCTTCCAGGCTTTCTGAGGCGGTTCTGGGGCCAGGGAGGAGGGGTTCTCGGCGGTATCCCGTACTCAGCGGTGGGCACGGACCCTGTGCCCTGGTCAGAGCCTGCGATTCCACAAACAGACTGGTGGAACTGATAGCACCGTGAAGTTTTAACAACCGTGCAGATGTCATGGATGGATAAACATGATGGAAACATACAATGGAATAGTATTCAGCCTTGAAAAGGAAAGGAAATCCTGACGGACGCTACAACGTGGATGAACCTTGAGGACGTTATGCTAAGTGAAATACACCAGTCTTAAAAGGACCGATGTCGTATGATTCCACTTATAGGAGGTCCCTAGAGCCGTCAGGTTCATAGAGACAGAAAGCAAAATGGTGGTCACCAGGGTCTGGATGGGGAGAAATGGGGAGTCAGTGTTTAATGGGGACAGAGTTTCAGTTTGGGAAGATGAAAAAAGTTCTGAAGGTGATGGTGGCGATGGTCACACAACCATATTAATGTACTTGATGCCACTGAATTGTACTCTTAAAAATGGTTAAAAGGATGAATTTTATGTTAAGTATATTTTACCACAGTTCTTTTTCATGATTTAGGAGGCCACAGTTATTTGGACTCCATATACCTTATTGTCCATGATCATTTTACAAAGTTCACCTTGTACAATCTATTAAGAGGTGCTTCTAGGCAATTTGGTAAAAATAAGTGACATGGGGATGGTAGCTGTCTATTTTAGAAACTATATTCAAAATTTATTTTAAGACGCGTTTAGCAGCACATATGTACAAAACAATTAACGCACTTAGTTTTACCTATATATAGGTTATAAATACAATTTTAGAAAACCCTACACATCTGTATATATCAGTTAATGATAGTAAATCTCTATAGTCTCAAAATATATCATTATGCCCATTATACCTTCACATAATACGTATTTGATTATTCTAATATACTATTAATGCTGATTGAGCAATCCTTTAATTATTATGAATTAGAGACACTTTCGGTTGTATCCTTTCACCACTTTTTTTTTTAATGATCGAGTCAACACTGCAATGTTTATATAGTTTGAGCTTCAGAAAATCACAATCAAATCGGAATCAAAATCAAATCAGAAAATCAAAACCAAAACACTTATGTTCTGAAATGATCTGTTTCAAAATTGGAAGACAGGGTCCCCACTGGCTACAGACATTAAACAGGGGCCTTCATCATGTGTGAGTTTTATCCCACAAGGCCTCCAGGAGCTTCTTCGGCATGTTGGTCACAGCCCCTGCAGCTGTAGTTTGGCCCAGGTCTCTGCTTTCAGCAGCCCTTGGCAGCAGGGCTGGTGATGGATTCAAGTTCATTTAAGTGTTTCTGTCTAATTGGATTATGTTGACTGTCCTTATGTGCTAAGTTCCTTAAGAGTTTAGCTGATTTCATGCATTCCGTTACTGGCATAATCTTTATAGAGGAATGTGAGCTGCTTAAAGACGTCTATCAGCCTGAAAATATTTAGATATAATTCATCTCTGCCTTTTGGAATAAAAAGATGCTCTCTGTAAACACTGACTTTTATCAAAGCGGATCACTTTTATAAAATCCCTTTTATAATCACTTTTATAAACTTTGTTCCCATGAATTTTATTCTAAAATTGGAGAGGGGATGAGGGTAATGAATTAGTCTTTAGTAGACAGCGCTCATTTTATCATTTATTTACTCAGCAAATATTTATGAAGCAACCGCCCGGTGCCAGACACTGTGCTCGGAAAGGCTGATGGGATGACAAGTACGTAAGCGGCTCTTATGAGGCAGGGACAGTGTTCATTTTGTTCACCATTTATTAACAGCACATTTTGCAAGGGAGGGGTTCGGTAAATAGCTGAGGACTCACTGAACAAAGGAAGGAGCTCCTGTCTATTGGGGGGCCACAAACAGGGAAATAGTCGTAATAGAATATTCGATAGAGCCTGAGTAGTTCTCATGGGAGAAAATCTCCAGTCCAGCGTGAGCACAAACGCCAGGCCCAGGGCTTCCCGGGTGGTGCAGAGGTTAGGGATCCGCCTGCCAACGCAGGGGACACGGGTTCGAGCCCCGATCCGGGAAGATCCCACACGCCGCGGAGCAACTAAGCCCGTGTGCCACAACTACTGAGCCTGTTCTCTAGAGCCTGCGAGCCACGACTACTGAGCCTGCATGCCACAGCTACTGAGCCCATGCGCCACAACTACTGAGCCTGCGCTCTAGGGCCCATGAGCCACGACTACTGAGCCTGCGCTCTGGAGCCCACGAGCCGCAACTACTGAGCCCGCGTGCCACGACTACTAAAGCCCGCACACCC